CCCATACCAACAACTAGCGACTGTGCTTGGAAATAAGCAGGTCAGCCGCTGTTCTGAACGCAGTTTTAGGCGTTCAACCGTAAAAACGTAAAAGTTTTGTATTTACCTTACCTAAACCAAATTACGGATATTAATTTAAAAAATTTATTGTTTAGTAGCAATGAGTTAAGTTCCAACTCAAAGTTTGTTGTTAAAAAGTTTTGGGCTCTTGTATTTAAGAAAGTTTCGGACAAAAGTTTTAAGTGAGCTGCTGTTGGTGATGTAAAGAACCGTATACGTACATACTATAGAAATATTATTTGCACATAAATATATGATAGTAAAAATTTTTGAAAACAAAAGACTATGTATGCCGGCAAGGTCCCACTTTGTTTACTCACCGAATTTTTAGCGTGGTGAACTTGCAGTAAATAATGAAATACTGTATTCACCAAAAAACATTGAATAAAAAATAATCAAAGTAAGAGTGAAGAGTAGGAGTGTAGAAAAGTGAGAACTGAAGAGAGTAAAATTATGCGCAACAATTCATGTCACACTTTGTAGGGTACAACTGGAAAGGAGCATGTTGAGTTTTGTTTGATAAACAAACTCATTCCAGTATTTGCGTATCAGAACTACAACAAACGAAAAAGCCGGTCCGTGTACTTGACACTCAACGTGTTCGATGTTTTTTTTTATTATGTAGTTTTCCAACTAAAAGTATGCAAAAAACTATTTTTACTATTTTATCTTTAAGTACTGAGCACCTCCAAAACAAAAGTATAAAAACAAATAACGTTAAATGAAATAACCAAAATACAATCGCACAAATAAATATAATTTCGAACATGTCTACCAAAGCTAATGACAATGATCTGCCTAAAGTGGCCCCAGAAATACCACGTCTTACATCAGAGCTTGCCGCACAAGCAGCCATACGCGCACAACAAATCCTACGTAAACAAGCCTCGCAAGATGATAAAGTGCAGCAATTACCAGCACCACCGCCACATAATTTGCCGCCAAAGCCGCAAATTGGCGCTGGTCAGCCACCACTGCCGCTGCAACACAACAAGCCAGTTCCTGCCATTCCGGCACGTTCCGCAGAACGTGCACCGCCACCAGAGATACCACCTAAACGACATAGCCTTAAAAGCTTACCAGATGGCATACCAATGCCACCACCTAGCCGTCAACCGCCACCGTTGCCTAAGAAACCGACGTCAACACAAAGTTCAGCACATAATAGTGCACAAAACTCTCCTCTTGCGGCAGTTAAATTTAAAGAGAAGCCACCTCCGCCACCAGAAAAATTCGAAATAAAACGTAGCTCAAATCCTTTCGATCCACCCATTAACTTAGGCAATGAAAGCAGTACAAAAGGATCTGTGCTTTCCCCAGTACCAGTACCAGTACGAGAACCTGAAAATCATGTTAAGAAAAATGTAGCACGTCTATCACCTAGTGAAGATTTTGGCTCCGAAGATGCGTTGCGTGGGATAGAAAGTGGGCTACGCAACATGGAAAGAGCTATGCAGGAACAAATGAATTTGCGCTCAATGGAAGCAGCAGTCGTGGCTGCTCAAAATAATTTTGATTTAAACTTTAAGGCCGGACTTACTGGTGCTAATCGTCATATTGTTAATTTACGAGCAGCAGCATACGAACGCCACCTTTCATTAGATGAAAGTCGTGACGTAGGCAGTGCAGCGGCTGCTGCAAGACAATCATTTGAGGAGTTGAAACAGTTACGCACACAACAGCTACAAAACGTAGCTGCTAACAATGCTGCAGAGCATTCTATGCGTCCAACCATAGAACATCATATGCGTTCATTAGATCGTAATTTACCACTAGAATTACAATATAGCCGCCATCGTGTTCAAGCACAAGCGGCACAAGAGTTTGGTAAGCCAAACCCAAACGCAATGGGAATGCCTGGAAGTGGAAGTGGTGTAGCTGGCGGACAGCAAAATCAGCCAGTGCCTTTGAGTAGTGAATTTCGTGAGCATATACGCCAACAACTTCTAGGCAACATACCGGGTAATGTCATGCATAATACAGGACAAACACCGGGTTCAGCTGCAGCGGCTGCGTTATTACAACATCAAGCACAATCGCGTGCCGCAGCGGCAGCTGCTGCTGCAGCCGCTCAAGCTACGGGCGGATTGACACGGGAAGAAATGCGTATGCGACGTCGGTCATCACATGATGAAACACAACTGGCACAGAATGCAGCTCCTGGTCTTCCAGGTAAAAAAAAATACAACAAAAAAATTATATCGAAATATTTATAAAAATTTTGTTTGGTTTTTTAAAAAAGTTTTTTTTCTACCTATGCACATGATAGAAGCTTAATTGATCCAAAAACCATATGCTACACGAATATAGGGAATTTTTAAGAGCTTTAACTGGATATAGTCTTTTCTTTTTTCGCATCTTTTCAGTATTGTATTCTTAAATATATGTATATTATATAAACGTAAAAAAACCTACAGGTATATTCAAGATATGACCTATAACATATAACATATAAAGAAAAAAGTGAAATTTGAATTCAAAATATCAATACTTCGAATTTTGAAGGTCAGCGTATTTTTATAACATCAAATTTCTTCTGTCTCTGTCTTCTGTCTGTCTTGTCAAATAATTAAAATGAGTTTCAATATCAGTAAAATTAGTAACCTTGATTTAATGTTGAATAGATTAAAAACGATTTGTTAAAAGTTTACGAATATGAATTTAATCATTCGAAAATTAGAAAAATTATTTATGGTCCACGAAAGAAAACTGGTTTTATGTGGTGGAGTATCTGCAGATGATACGTATGTTGTTCTTAAAGATAAAGTATTATCGCAGCTATACTGTACGGAAGCCAATGTTAAGCTAGGTTAGGTCGGAGTGGAGGTCTTGTACTCAAACCCCAATTGAGCTCAAATAATGGCCCATTGTAACACCATACAAAGAACTCAAACTTGGTAAAATATATATTTTGAAACAATGAGTGAAGCGATATTACCACATTCAAAATAAAATATGACATTAAAATGGATCTAATAACATCATAATGTTTTAAAGCTTAGAAAGTTGACAAAAAATACTTTCATATCATTAGAATTCCAGTTTTATAGTGACCAGATCCATCCGCTGTCATGAATCACGTGAATTACTAATAAACAGGTATCCAAAAAAATGATGGCTATTCCTTAAATAGCCATCATTTGTGACATGGAATACATCAAGATAAGTTGTGAGCCATATTGGCTGTACGTAGTTATGTGGCTTTCATAAATAAGAATTCGTCTACTAAATACTACGTATTCAAAATTTCAAGCGTCAAAACTAATTTCTTAACATTACTATTTATTGTTATATAAAGCGAACCTATTATCTATTACCTAATCTATTAAATTGAATACTGGACTTAGAAAGTGTTTTCACTCAAATAAATTTTGTTCTTCTGAAACTGTGTTCCTATTATTCTAAACACAACTCTAAATACTTATATCAGAAGTGGAACGTAGAATGCACAATGCGCATATATATATTTATATAAAACCCATTTTCGGTAGTTAGTTTCTATGAGAACTACATAATATATCTAAATTCACATTTGTAAGGATACAAATGTAAGGATAACAAACTAACATACATTGTTAAATCGATTCTACGGTTCGATATATACGGGTATATAGTTGCCGTTATCTCACTGACCGTCTTACAAACATCTTCACAGAAGAAATATATCTTTGTTCACAACAGTTTTATGTATATTTAAAGGAAGTTTATTGAAAGATAAATGCCTTTATAGAAACTTTCAAGACATGTAAACTAATACTTCAGTTTCTGAAACTATGCTCCGCAATGCAACTCTCAGTGCTCTGCGAAGCGAATGAATTATTATCATAAATTAATAAAAAGGTACTCATTCGATGATATATGTGCATACTTATACTATTAAAATATATATAAAAAAAATATTCGGAATAAGACAAAAAAATATCGGATATCGTTTGTAGGAGATTTTGAATTCCATGGCAGAATTCCATGCTTCGCGCTAAATTTATATTTTGAAAGATAGATTTCTGAGATTACTTTCCAATACTCAGTAAAAAATTGTTAATAATTTATTTTATTTTTGTATTAGAACTGAAGCGATTTTCTTTAGCTCCGCATTGTTCTGCGGATTTGGATTATATGCGTTGCTGTTTGAAAGGTAAAGAGTCTAACAGTGTTCACATCTATATGGACGTTGTACTCGTACTCTAACGATATTAAACTAAATTTGGCACATTAACTAAATATAATATTTATATTTTGAATCATAAAATAATTGTAAATAGAAATAATATAACTGTTAAGTAATAACAACAATAATTGTAAATAGAAGCCCACAAAAATGTACCATAGGGCCCCTAAATATAACCTAATAAAAGTTTAATCACAAATGTTAACTTGTTCAACAATCATTAACCCGAAAAAATAATTTTTTTCTAATTGAAAATATTAATAACTAATAAATATATGCATGCTTTTAATGAGGAAAGCACTAGAGAGACTAAAGACACTAAAGAGGGACCCCTTCAAAGTATAGCACACACTCGTGAAATATGTTATCCCCCATGAAAGTTAATCAAATTTAAAGCAAAATTTATGTTGCAATCCTTGCAGTTCTTGCAGTTCAGGAAGCACGGGTGAAGCAGCACACATGCAACATTTACTCGGGTTCATTTGCATAACAAAGCTCCCACAAAGGACACACATAAGTGCACATGTTGCACATATGCCGAGGATACAAGTGGCAGAGTGTTGCACCGCATATTTGTCGTTACACGCAACTGCAGTTGTGCTCCAGCGCATATTCATTAATCAATGTTTTCTCGCTGATTTTTATAACAATTTTTTATTTTTGCATTTTAATATTGCTAATTTTATTAAAACTGCGTTTGGTTTTTCATTAACATAAATTATGAATATTTTTTTCCGAAAATGTAAATTTCTATTTTATTGTTTCTTCTCAGTAACTCGTTTGCGTGAACATTGGGATGAGACCTCGCAATGTGTGCTGCAACGTGCGGCTCAGCTCAAAAACATGCTCGGGGACTCACAAAGGTAAATGCATTTTATGATATCTGATAGATGAGATTTTAAAGTGATTCCTACAGATATGAAGCTAAGCGTTTGGAGTTGGAGAAATGGCTGGGTCGTATGGAAGTGCGAGCGGAGCGTATGGGCACTGTAGCCACCACAGCTGACGTATTGGAGGCACAGCAAAAGGAGCAAAAGGTTTGTTAATACTAAATCCAATCAAAATAAATCAATTTTATTAACGTTTCAATACTTTTACAGTCCTTCCACGCTGAATTGCACCAAAACAAACAGCAATTTGAAATGTTCAATGTTTTAACACAAAAACTAATTGCAGTTTATCCTTCCGATGACACAACACGTGTCAAGAAAATGACTGAGGCAATTAATCTAAGGTGAGTCACAAGAGGTTGTTTTTTTGCATTATTGTTAATCTTGTTGCATATCCTATGTTTAATAGAAAAATTTTTAAGCCATAAAACTTATATACTCTTCACATCAACTTAAATTATATTAAGTTTATCAAGATATCAAGAAAACCGTAAGAAGTATAGTGCATAGTGCAGAGTGCATCTACTAAAAAAGTGAAAGGTCAATGGTAACATAAGAACAATTACTGTTTTCTGGGTTCTAGTTTTTAACAATATAAATTGATGTTTTATCTGATAGCGCTTGATATGTATTGAAAACAGATTAAACAGATTGCTGTATGCTGTATGATATATTTTGATCATCCCAATGAGAAAAATAAATGTTTCCATATTCAGCTATCTTTTTCAATTACACAAAAATGAGAAAATAGTGCAAGAATCCGAAGATCGGATGAATTGAATGAAAATTATACGACAAATTTCTTAAAAACTCTACGAACTGTAGAAATTAAACATGATAATACGTTTAATAATATTACAATACGTTCAGAATACGTTCAGAATTATATATATATCTGTCATTCATATTGATAATTTAGGTAAATTTATTGTATTTACATACAAAAACCTGACATGTGTCAATACGTTTTCAACATTTGGCTGCATCGAATATGACAACTGATATCATCGAAATTTGTCTCTATATTAAATCTACCGATTCCATTCTTCATATCATTAATACATTCACATCTATGGCAACTGAATTAACATCAGCGAATTTAAGTATTGATGAGAGCTAATCGTCTTTCATACTGACTAGTAGTATTTTCTTCTAGGCCATGTTTGCATGTTCGTAATAAAATTTTTTATTAACTTTTGCATTAATTTCCGCATGTAATCTCAGATATTAACTCTTTTTTTTGCTTCCAAGAAGAACTTTCCTAGTCCAATTGAGGTCAAGTTATAAATATATACCATACATATAATTGTCACACATATGTATTAATTTTGCAATACATGTCTCACCTTTAGCTTTCCCTACACACCATAACTACTGAGATATGAATTCGTCCTATCGAGGTGACAAGGTTTCTCTTCTTTTCTCCTTTCTTATTCTTCTGCACAACTCAATGAATCCCAATTTTTAATTATAAATGGATTATCCATGTTTCGCCAATATATTCTGGCTACAATAAAAACTACATTCAAAAGAGTATATAATCTTAAAATATATATTTACATATCTTTTTAGATATTCCAATTTGAACAATGGAGTCATAAGTCGTGGTAAGCAACTCAACGCAGCTGTGCACAGTCTTCAATCGTTCGATCGGGCCATGGATCAGGTAAGAATTTAAACTTCCTCTGAAACTATAATTGTTTAGCCTTTTCCTCTTAAATCTTTCTCACGTATTTCAATTCACAGTTTTTGGCATTTTTATCGGAATCGGAATCGCTTTGTGAAAGTGCAGAATCGGAAATTGATAGAAATCCATTGATGTTTAAGGTAAGTGGCCCAAACGAAGTTGCTTTAAAATAATATTTTTTAACCATAAAGTCAACATTTCCTCATAAATTTAAATCATTTTCAAGTTTCAAATTTATTGGAAAAAGAAAATAATATATCGGGGAATATAAAACATAAAACTTCATTTAAATAGCAACTTTTATTAAAGTTCGTGCTGAGTTAAACACGATAAATCTTTTAAAATTTCAAAAGCAGTTCAATAAAGTGCAGGAGGCCAAGTGTCTTCCTTGTTGTTCTTTTTGTTGTTGTTGTTGCATTGTTGCATTGTTGCATACTGCTTTGTTATTCTACAAAATATCGCAACATTATAATTTTTCCATAAAATTCAGCAGAATATAAACATAAAACGGGCGCCCGGCGACCACCCACAAAAGCTAAAATTGTTACATAAATTTCTGCTCCGAAAAGCCGCAATAAAATGAGTCGAAGACTGCAAAAAAAGAGCAGAAAATGCAAAAAGTTGCAGTTGCAATTTCTGTTTAATAAATTATAATTCAAACAAAATAAAAGAGTTGGTAAAAATTTCAAGTTACTTCTTATATTTGACATACGAGTTAACTGCTGAACCCGTGTCCGTGCATTTGGAAACATACGACCGAGTAGGTTTCCAATGTTAGAATGATGCACTTTAAAAAATCTCTACATATTTTAATTACTTGGGCCAATAATCAATTAAAACACTTAAAAATATTTTCAAGGGTGTCTGTTTTGTATTTCAAAGCCCATCCAAGTAGTCTGCCGTATTTTCCCCTATTGTTATTTTTAGCTCCCATAATGGATGTGGATGGCTAGCATCTATTCCATTAAATTTACCGATAGCATTTAAGTATCTGTAATATAGGAAAATATGATGTGGCGTAGTGATTTAAGTTTTTTGTTTGAAGAGCAATTTCGTAGTATTTGAAAAATTTCATTAAGTCGGTCATAACGACTGTTTAATCACGCAGCAATTGTATCTCAACATGTGTGCTTGGCACAGTGCATCCAGGCGATACAAATTAAATGCGAGAATTTGTGGCTGTTGGTGCAACTGGAGTGTGCATGTGTTTGTTGGTGTTGCAAGCACTTCAAAGCTAATTGCTCCATTTATTTTATGTGTTTTTCAATATAGTTTATTTGTGCAACATTGTTTTATTATTGCTTTTGAGGAATTTGTTGTTTTTTTTTTGGTGTGAATTTCTTTCCCTTTTTTCTTAATTAAAGTTCAATATTGCCACAAGTTCAAATCAATTGGTATTTCTGTGGTATTTGTAAATAGATGTACTCTATTATTTTATACATGTTACACTTATATGTGTGTAAATATTCACATAATTTAGTTATTGCATAACTTTTCTACAATAATGATTAGTAAAACTATCTCTTTATTATTAAAAAACTTTCCCCAACCACCCAGTAAAACCGTTGAAATTTTTAACCCAAACTATTTAACATATAAAACAAACATATGTTAATGTAAATATATGTAGTATATATCTCTTGCTCTGATTATTTCTTGCTCCGTTACTCTTTCTCTCTCTGTCTTACATCGCTACTCTTTCTTTCTCTTGCTTCGTTAGTCTCTTTCTCTCATGTTTCGTTACTCTCTTTCTCTACTGTTTCGTTATTCTCTCTCTTTTTTGCTTCGTTACTGTCTCTCTTTTGCTTCTTTACTCTCTCTCTTTTGCTTCTTTACTCTCTCTCTTTTGCTTCTTTACTCTCTCCGTCTTTTTTTCTTTGTCTCTCTTTCTCTCTCTCTCTCTCTCTCTCTTTCTTTCTTTCTTTCTTTCTTTCTTTCTCTTTCTCACTTTCCCTTTCTCTCTATCTCTTTTACTCACTTTATTTCTCACTTTCTGTATCTAACTTTATCTCTTTCTCTCTCCTTTTCTCTTAATTTTTACTTTAGTTACTTCAGACTTGCTATATATATATAGCAAGTGTGAACATATGTAAATCCCAAACAAAAGATAAATTCTTTCTCATATGTAGCACATATGAGAAATATTGAAATTCTTTCTAATATATCTCGATCTAAAATAATCGATAAATATTTGTGAATTATTATATTTATGAAATGTAGACAGATATTTTATTTATATTAAAATAGGTTTTGTTTTTTTTTTATTATTATTAAGGTTATTATTTATTTAAGTAGGAAATCGGCTTTAAGTTATAACTGCAGGTAAATATATTAAGTGTTGACCTTCTTCATATACTAAATGATTCCTTCTATTTTATTATACCCGTTAGGTTTTCTCTAAAAGAATATATATTCATTATAAATAGCGACAGATGAAACATCTATTTATATATACATAGGTACTAAAAAATGATATACTTTATACCTTGATAAAATATTAATGTTATTTTCTTTTCGATGTCTTATTGAAATAGAAATTGTTTAGTTATCTTTTTTAGATAGATAAACACATCAAAATTTATAGTTTTATTATTCTTTTTAGTAATTAAATTATTTCAATATTAAATGTATTTCTTAATTTTCCTGAATATATATTAATATTATATTCAGAGGAACCAATGTTACATCATAATTTATGAGATGTAGTATGCTATCGCTTGAGAAACTCTTCCATGCGAAATCAATTTAAAACTATTAATAAATCTATTTATATCTTGCGATTTTAGACTGAATTTGAGTGAAACAAAATAAAAGTAACTATTCATATCCAACTCAGATATGAGATTCTGGAATTACGAATCAACTTGGATTTAGTGGTCCAAAGATTACAGAGATTTCATGACCGATGATTGATAATTATTCGAATATAAAATATTACTAACATTTGTTATAGCAAAGATATTTGGGTTTTATTCTTTTTTTATAATGTTTCTGAAAATAAGAATAAATATTATAGTTAAATAACATATTAGACATTAAATCGAAGGCTAAGATTTCAAATTTTTGCTTAAACTATTCAAATTTTTGCTTGATTATATGTTTTCGTGATCGTTGGCTTTTTGTAATGCCCTATGCCTGGGTTAATATTGAAGAATGTCTGAGAATACCTGAGTCATCCCATTCTCATATAATTTCTTTCTTTACTTTGGTCAAGAAATCACTTTTTACACTCATGCTGTTTTAATACTGTACAACCAATAAGCCACAACTTTTCTTTATGAGAACCCAATCTAATTAATATGTTTATAGCTTCATCAAGCAGTCATGGTTATTGCTTTGAACGTTGTTCGTAGCAGAAAAAACACCTATGATTGCTTTAAAATTTCTTTAACAATATTTGTGATAATGAAACTTCTGTTTCAGATCAATTTAAAAAATTGGTTTATTTATTCATGTTGAGTCTTTTTTGAGTTAGTGCATCTGGGCACTTTTACTCTTTGATATCTGGGGGGTTTCTGCAGAGTCGTCTCACCCTCAAAAGCTTCGTAATTAATCGATGATTAATTTAAGATCAGCGTACCGCTCTGTGCGACTAGAGATTATTCTGAGATTAGATACTGTTAAGTAGGGCAGATTGTCGGTTTTCGTGAATAGCTTTAGGGCTCTGTCCTTTATGTATTTTTTGACCGGATCTATTTTAAAGTCTCTTTACTTTTGCATAATTTTTAAAATGTTTCAACTGGCGACTTGTTTATATATGTCAACGTTTGTACAGCTCACTTTTTACTGGCAATAGATATCTCCGAGTGAAGGTGTACATATTTGTATTAACTTATTAACTTATTAACCTATTAACCTACCTACATACGAATATGGGAGTGGAAAGTGAGCAAATCGAAATGGACAATAGATATCTCCGATTGAAGGCGTACATATTTGTATTAACCTATCTGACCTACATACGAGTATGTTTTGATCTGTTTGAAACATTAAATATTCTGAAAAAGTCTGTTGTTTGTATTAGGAGGATTTCGTAAAATAATTCAAGCCATCTAACATATTTAAATAACGCAGTCAAGAAATAGATTATTTCTAGATTGGGGGTGCATGTATTTAACGGTAATTTTTTGAATATTCTTTGAAAGCACATTAAGCTTACCTTGCATGCTTTTATCCTTTTCGAAAAAGTTCCTTAATGGTTCAAACACTGTATAGTCGTAGTCTACACACTTTCTTTTCCTTTTGGCACTTTTGTGCGATTTGCTAAAAGCTTAAAGGTCATGTTTTGCGTTTCAGAAATTGAAAATTGAAAAATCCCTTCCACGCATGTCCGTGTTTGGTTGGGTTTTTTGCACAAATGCAGGCAATTTTAGATAAGCAAAAGCTTTTAGTCTATACCAGAGCCAGACGAAAATGTTGATACGGCAACGCTGGTGAGAACTCTACAAACTTCAGCGCACGTCATTGGTAACCATTTTGGCGCGCTTTCTCCAATTTTCTTTGTCGGCATTTCGTTACTTTGACAAATACCGGCTTGCACCGTCACACGAACTGGTGCCGGGTCTCCACTGGGGCTGTTATCATGACAATTGTTTTGTTTGTCCTATTCGCATTTTCTGGTATCAAAACTCACACTCTCCAAACAAGCTCGACATGCTCCACACGCTCGACAAACGCATACAAGCACGACCGTTTCATATGCAGAGCAGAGACAGATGCTGCTGCTGTGGTTATTCGGTGATGCCAACATGTTTCGGAATTTAGTTCGTGTTTTGATTTAGTACGTGTCGCATCTATAACGGCGTATGTGCGTAGTAATGCGTGTCGATTCAGAAAACATTTTTTATTTTTGATAAAAAAAAATCGTTTTTATTGTTAAACATAAAAATTGTATACATCAATTTTAATTTACACACAGAATCGGCATAAATGTAACTGAATTCGTGGCGGATGTAGCTTACCTGCATTTAATTTCCGTTATTGTATATCCGCATCCGGCGCAGTACGCACAGCTTTTTGATTTTGGTTTGATTTTGCAAAGTAAATATGCCTGCCTAAAGCGCAAAAAAAAACTAAATTATTTTAAAAAAATCCTGCAATTGCATTGCATACTTTTGTGTACTTCCACGACGGTAGCACACGGCAGTGCATATGTGTGCTTGAGGTGGCGTAC